ACAACATACTCAAAAATCAACAAAAATCAAGCCGAAATAATGGCGATATTGCTCGCAAAAGACAAGAATGTAGAATCCAGATTTGAGAAAAAGTCATCTCCCATAAGGATTACATGCAAAAAGTAATGGATCAAGTGATAATAGGGTAATAATAAAGTAAATATGGTTGTCTATTACATTATTTGCGATTGTACGTGTTTTAATATTTAAAGGAGATGGTACAGTAAAAGGTCAAAAAGAAAAAAAAAGTGAAAAAAAAATTGTTGGAGACCCCCGGACTCGAACCAGGGACCTCGAGGTCGGAAGTCAAGTGCGTTACCGATATACCAAAACATTTCCCATAGAGATTACACGTAAACGGAAAATGGAATGATCAAATCCCACTTTGCAAGTGAGATATGAGCATGATCCCGGCATCTGATCGAAAAATAAAGGGCACACTTGTGATAGCTTATTGTCTCAGCTACAACATACTCGAAGCTCAGCGAAAACAAAGCTAAAACGACGGAGATATTGCTCGCAAAAGACAGGATGTAGAATCCAGTTTTGGGAAAAAGTCATGTCCCATAGAGAATACACGCAAAATGTGAAAAATTGACATGCCACCTTTAATCACAAAAATACGCCATGATACCTTTGTCAAAATGAAAAATTGTGTAGACTGCATTTGTAGAGAATTGTCTCAGCTAGATCATATCAAAATTTGGAAGAAAATCGATCAATATTTACAGAGATACAGTCAATTTTCCAGAAAAATACTGACGTCATAATATGCAAATTGAAATTTTGAGTTGGGAGGCCATTATGATGACGTCATGAGTTAATTGAGGGTCAAATGAGACATGAAATCATATTTCAAATTCATACTCTATCAAAATATGAAGAAAAAAATTGGGTTCACTTTGCATCCTAAAGCGCTACAATGGATTTTGTATAGGCATGTTTTTGCCCATGTATGCTATGTATTACAAGAGCTCGCACGCACGGAAATTATCTTAAACGGACGCTCATTCCGTTATTAATGGTCAGAAAAAGGTGAACAAGGTATCAAAATGCTTGGAAAAATGTGTCAAATATGATGACAGAAAAAAATTGGCGATTCTATGTAGGAAAAAGCAATTACGCGCGAAAGCGCGCGCGCATGTGCGTGCGCGCGTTTTTTGCAAAATGCTTAAAATGGCCTGAAACGTATGCAAAAATAATTTGAGACGATTTGGAGCATTTTTATTTTTTGCGCGCGCGGTGACGCGCGGACGTACGCATGCGCGCGCGTTTTCTGACCTGAAATTGACCGGACGGATATTGACCTTAATCGTGATAAATATGAATGAGAAATGCCTTTCCGTTATGAAGATATGATCATGAGTAAAAAGTACCAAAAAAAACACAAAATGGCGCCTGGATGACGTCATGAAAACTTGATGACCTTGAAAATGTTACTCTAACGTCTCATGACAATGACCTATGACTGTGCCAAAATTGAACGAAATTGACTAAACTGATCTTGAGTTATCCTGTTAACAAAAAAGTGTGAAAATAAATAAAAATAAATAATAATAATAATAACTAGAAATTTAATTCGTCATGGAGACGAATTAGGTGGTCTGTCTTCAAGTCTTATGAGAGATTATAATATGTACTATATTGAGAAAGGGAGACGTTATATATACATGTAAACAATGATGATCATCATGATGATCATGATGATGATGATCTTGATAGTAATGGTGATGACGATGATGATGATGATGATGATGATGTTGATGATTATCATCAACAGACCACGATGACATCAGACTGAACAAAATTAGAGAACATTTAGATAGCGTATAGTCTCAGCTACAACATACTCAAAAATCAACAAAAACCAAGCCGAAATAACGGCGATATTGCTCGCAAAAGACAAGAATGTAGAATCCAGATTTGAGAAAAAGTCATCTCCCATAAGGATTACACGCCAAAAGTAATGGATCTAGTGATAATAGGGTAATAATAAAGTAAATATGGTTGTTTATTACATTATTTGCGATTGTACGTGTTTTAATATTCAAAGGAGATGGTACAGTGAAAGGTCAAAAAGAAAAAAAAGTGAAGAAAAAAAATTGTTGGAGACGCCCGGACTCGAACCAGGGACCTTGAGGTCGGAAGTCAAGTGCGTTACCGATATACCAAAACATTTCCCATAGAGATTACACGTAAACGGAAAATGGAATTATCAAATCCCACTTTGTAAGTGAAATATGAGCATGATCCCGGCATCTGATCGAAAAATAAAGGACACATTAACGATAGCTTATTTTCTCAGCTACAACATACTCAAAGCTCAGCGTAAACAGAGATAAAACGACGGAGATATTGCTCGCGAAAGACGAGAATGTAGAATCAAGTTTTGAGAAAAAGTCATGTCCCATAGAGAATACACGCAAAATGTGAAAAATTGACATGCCTCCTTTAATCGCAAAAAACACCATGATACCTTTGTCAAAATGAAATCTTGTGACGACTGCATTTGTAGAGAATATTCTCAGGTAGAACATATCAAAATTTGAAAGAAAATTGATCAATATTTACAGAGATACAATCAATTTTCCAAAAATCTGCTGACGTCATAATATGAAAATTGAAATTTTGAGTTCGGAGGCCATTATGATGACGTCATGAGTCAATTGAGGGTCAAATGAGACATGAAATCATATCTCCAATTAATACTCTATCAACATATGAAAACAAAATTTGGTTCATCTTCCATCCTAAAGCGCTACAATGGATTTTGTATAGGCATGTTTTTGCCCATGTATGCTATGTATTACAAGAGCTCGCACGCACGGACATTATGTTAAACGGACGCTCATTCCGTTATTAATGGGCAGAAAAAGGTGAACAAGGTATCAAAATGCTTGGAAAAATGTGATAAATATGATGACAGAGAAAATTTTGCGATTTTATGTTGGCAAATACCAGTACGCGCGAAAACGCGCGCGCACGCGCGTGCGAATTTTTTTTGCAAAACGCTTAAAATGGCCTGAAACGTATGCAAAATTAATTTTAAACGATTTGAAGCATTTTTATTTTTTGCGCGCGCGCTGACGCGCGGACGTACGCGTGCGCGCGCGTTTTTTGACCTGAAGTTGACCGGACGGATATTGACCTTAATCATGATAAATATGAATGAGAAATGCTTTTCCGTTAAGAAGATATGATCATGAGTAAAAAGTACCAAAAAAAACACAAAATGGCGCCTGGATGACGTCATGAAAACTTGATGACCTTGAAAATGTTACTCTAACATCTCATGACAATGACCTATGACTGTGCCAAAATTGAACGAAATTGACTAAACTGATCTTGAGTTATCCTGTTAACAAAAAAGTGTGAAAATAAATAAAAATAAATAATAATAATAATAATAAAGAAAGAAAATTCTGACGAAAACAATAGGTGATCTGTCGTTGACAGACCACCTAATAAAGAAAGAAAATTCTGACGAAAACAATAGGTGATCTGTCGTTGACAGACCACCTAATAATAATAAAGGCAATTTTAACAAAATTATAAGGTGGTCTGTATAGATACAGCCCACCTGATAATAATAAAGGCAATTTTAACAAAATTATAAGGTGGTCTGTATAGATACAGCCCACCTGATAAAGGCAATTTTAACAAAATTATAAGGTGGTCTGTATAGATACAGCCCACCTGATAATGTTATTAGCGTTTAGAGGCTTCGGTGGTAAGCGCTTTATAAGTAACGTTCTTCTTATTATTAATGTTATTATTATTATTATTATTATTATTATTATCATTATTATTATTATTATTAATACAAATAATAACTAGACATGTAATACTTGTTTGGAACAAGTATAGGTGGGCTGGTCCAACTAAAATTTTAGACAAAATAGAGCAAAATTAAGCGAGATACTGCTAAAAAAACAATGTCATGTAGATTAATGATGTGAACGAAATTCACATTCAATAGGCATAACATGCAAATTAAGAAATTTCTGATATTTGCCCTTTAATTGTAATTTTCACTATGATGACGTCATCAAAATGAAAAATGGTATAACAGAGCTTGTAGAGAATTGTCTTAGCTACAACATATCAAAATTTGGAAGAAAATCGACAAATATTTACAGAGATACAATCAATTTTACATAAATATGCTGACGTCATAATATGCAAATTCGTATTTTGAGTTCCAAGGCCATTATGACACGGACATTTATCTTGAATGGACGCTCATCTTGTTATTAATGGTCATAAAGAGTTAAACATGGTATCAAATTGTTTGAAAAAATATGAGAAATATCATGAAGGAAAAAAAATAGCGATTCTATGTTGTGTAATGGTGTTACGCACGAAAACGCGCGCGCATGCGCGTGTGCGCGATTTTTTATAAAATGCTTAAAATGACCTAAAACGTATGCAAAATAAATTTGAGATGATTCTGAGCATTTGTAAATTTTGCGCGCGCATTGACGCGCGGAAGTTCGCGCACGCGCGCATTTTTTGACTTGAAATTGACTGGATTGATATTGACCTTGATCATGATAAATATGACTGAGAAATGACTTACCGTTATGAAAATATGATCATGATTAAATTTTCGGAAAATTTCACAAAATGGCGCCTAGATGACATCATCAGTCAAGGTCAAGATTGAAAACTTTACTGTGTTTTGTCCATATGCCTATTCATATGTGTGCTTAATTTCAACGCATTTGATTGAGCCATTTTCAAGTTATCTTGTTAACAAAAAAGTGGTTAGAAATAAAATAAAGAAATAATAATAAAGGCAATTTTAACGAAAACATAAGGTGGTCTGTATTATATACAGCCCACCTGATAATAATGATTTCGTTTTTTCCAGGGAACCTACGGCCTGATATTCGATCCCTTAATCCTTGGACAAAGAGTCAAGTGAATGAACCACTTTACCACAACACATATTTGTAGATATCCCCCTGTAAATGGTTGTCTCGTATGTTCTATCACAGGGGATTTCCAGTGCGATTTTGATGAACCTGCATTGTGTGGTTTCACCCAAGATACAAGAGATGATCTGGAGTTTCTTCATCATAGTGGTTTGACTCCAACCGAAGGAACTGGACCTCATGGCGACCATACCTCAGGTACACACCCACTAACTAAATCGATCTGCTAAAACAATTCCACTCCATCTAGGTCATTCGAAAACCAGACAAATACTCCCTACCTTCTCTGGTACGTTGAAAGGGAGTAGTCTTGGAAACGCGCACCGTGGTAGTCGTAGATCTGTGGGGATGAATTACCACTGTCCTCCTTTGTTTATTGGTGTCCCGAAGAAAGAGGGAGAGAGAGAGAGAGAGAGAGAGAGTGATAGAGGAGGGGGGGGGGGGGGGTTGGGGTGGAGGGGAATCAAAGTTTGTTGTGTGTGCCCGTAATGGAGAGTGTGAAAGACGATAGTATAATGTAGTATGTCATAGTACACAAGAGACAGACTGCTAATCAGGAGTCAGTTCCCAATGTATATGGGCAATTCCACGGAGATTGTTCACTCGCCCAAAATAATAATTTTTCTATAACCCCATAAATATTTGTGTTACCATGACGAATTTCGAATTTAACATTGGAGCTGAAAACACACTTTAATTGGCTTGGTATATAATATTAATAGGACTGAAACTGCATTAAAGAATTGTATTTTTCAATAAAAAAAGAATCCCCAAATTGAGCGGCTTTTTTCCCCCAAAAATATATTTAGGTCTCATTATTTATAAGTACTTCAGATATAATTGTTGGTAGCAAATTGTGATAAATGAAACCAAAGATTATTTTAACGCAAAGAACTGATATAGAGGTCTTTAATGATAAAGACCGGTAGTGGTAAAATTGCGGTTGAAGGGTTTTGGTATTATTGGTAATAAGAGCTTCCATTTAATTTTTTGAGAGGGGGGCGTTTCCAAAACTGGTCTTTACCTTTAAAGAGTGGACAAATGAGTCATGTCCGTTGCGCAAAACCTGTCATGTCAGCTACGCTACTTGTCTTTCTTTAGCTCTGACAACGAAAAATGTAATCTTAAAGTTTTACAACAGGTATTTATATTTAGAATCGGATTATAACAATCTAATACTCCCTTTAAGACTCATTGAACCTTACATATTTACAAACTATTCAGAAGTGCAAAATGTCCCTTGTCCTTTCTCTGTCATGTCCGTTACATTTACAAAGAGTTCATAGGGCGAAGGTTACACTCCTGTTTTTGAAAGCATACAGTACATGAATGTAATTATAAATACATTGTGTATTATCCTGTAGTCCTTTTTGCTTATGTACTTCTTCCTTACTTTCTAAATGTTATAATTGCTATTAAACAATCCTGTGGTTAGGGTTAGGGTACTAAATACTATATGCAATTTTAAATGGCGTCGATGGAATCGTTGTCTTTATTGGCGGCTGGAGTGGATCGGAGGATTGATACCCGAGTAACATGTACTTGATTGCGTTCCTGGTGCTCCAATTCTTACTTGCGTAACTCCGTCTTGTTACTTTTTAATATTTGTATAACATAATATTTTTGCTCTGCAACTAAGATATAGTGGATAGCACGAGAAAGTCTTTACCACTATGAGGTCCCTAATATTATTGATCTTTTTGTTCAGTTTTTAGTTTTAGGTGCTGAAAAAATAAAGCAAATCAGAAGAGACTCGTTAATTTCTCCTTATACTACTGATACCGCAGGTTTCGGACATTATATGTACCTTGAAGCAACAGGTGCAACGTTCGGGTCCACTGCCCGCCTCATATCTCCTCGCTTCAATGGTAGCAGTGGTGATGATGATGATGAGGGGACCAACGGTGTGAAGGTCACCTTCTGGGTTCATAAGAATGGGCAGGAGATGGGAAACCTTCGTTGTTTTCTTATGAATGCAACCACGGATACATCCACAGCGACTACGAACACCACCACTACAATGCAACAAATACTAGAAGTCCCTGGTGTACTCGGGACCGAATGGGTGAAGAGAAATGTGACGATTCCTAGACCATCAACAGATTTTCATGTACGTCGCTTGATTTTTCTTTTGGTTGTAATGCTATCATTTTAACTTAATACCTTCAGAGTTATGAGAAAGGAGCGAGAGTGAAAAGTCCAGAGGTGAAAGTATTTGAGTGTATCCCTTTTGAATGGGGAAGCCCCCGATCGTTTGAACACGTTCATTTCAGTGTGGGTTTCGCATTTGAAAGAAAAAGTTGTGGTTTCGAATTTGGAAAGACATAAGTGATCAGTGCGGGGCTTTACCAAGATTCCTCATGCTACCCAATGGAAATTTAGAATGAAGGGAAGTGAGAGTATGTTACAGTAGGAGTCTGTCTAGAAAAACGGGGTGGATGTTAGATAATGTGAAACAATATAGTGAAATGTATTATTGCCAAAAATTACCCTTTAGCTTTATTGTCCGTTTCCGTTTTGTTTTACGAATAGGTGTACTCGACACTAAAAAGAAGAAGCTAGTTTTAATCTTTCGATTTGACTGAATGATTTTGCTTGAATTATTTAAATGCTTAGTTCTAAACGCAATGATAATGAAGTGTAGAATCCTGCTTGGAATGGAATCATGAAAACAAACAACAACTTAATAAGCGTCTTTCTGGCACTCAGTAGACGATTCATAATATCAATTTCCCTCATTTTCTAAATATATATTGACTAAAGTCCCCCATGAATCACATGCTCTTAGCAACATTATGAAACAAAAATATAAAAAAAGGGTTTGGTGAAAGAAGGGATGTATTCATGTGAATTAAGTTCTAGCGTCTTCGAAATTGTTTCATAACCGACAGATCGTTTTCGAAGCAACATGTGGAGCATCTGCAGCTAGTGATATCGCTATTGATGACGTCACTGTGAATGATGACGTCATTCCAGGTCAGAATAAAAACTCTTCTATATATATATATAATTCTAACACTGCAATGAGATAAAACAAATACAGACCGTAAAACAGAGTAGCATGACAATTTTTTTTAATTGTTTAAATATGTTATAAATGATCAATAATGGGCGTTTGTATTATTTTCTAGATTAAATAAAAAATTGAGCTTTCTAATTCTTTTAATAATATGTAAGCTTGGACAAGTACAAATGTCCCCTGAAAGTATTGCTCTTTACATGCCCTTATGTTCAAAATATAGTGAGAAATAGCTGAATAGCTTTGACCAAATATTTCTTTTAATGTTATATTTTTTTTCAGAACCAGCACCTATTGAAGAGTTCAACTGTACTTTTGAGGCTGCAGGCCTTTGTGTATTTTCTCAAGATGGAACCGACCAGTTCAATCTAGTCAAATACCATGCTGCTGAAAATCCAAATCCATTTGCTATGAATAGAGATCACACATTTAGCAATGGCACAGGTAACACCAAACCTTACTCTACTCCACCATTTTCAATACTGTCTTACATTTCATGCTTTTTAAAAAACACATTACAATTATGGGCTAAAATACATTTCTGAACTAGAAATAGCTGAAACCCAACAAATCCTATAGCGCTACGAAGAAGGCAATTGCCAGTAAAAACGAAGGGGAAAAAAATCCCCAATAATTATTTTTTAATTATATCATAGAATGTGCAGTCCACCTAGAATTGGGTCAAGTCAAAGTAAAATGCGGAAATAGATTTTCGTCCTCAACATTGAATTTTCATTTTGATATGAGGATGGGTTGTCTTTTGCATGCCATTCATTACGTAATCTTTGTACGAATGGGGCGTCAGTGTCGGAGGCGGTGCTCGGGTAGGGGAGCACTTTGTCAAGTACACCAAAAGTATGTCTCGTTTTATTACTGGTAAATGTCCTTATTCAAATATGAAAAATGCCCCTTTTTCTATTGAGTACATTTTCCCTTCTTTTGCCCCTATACAAAGCTAACAAATGCCCCTTTTTAGTTGAAAAGTGTCCCCTTTTATCCGAGTGCCCTTTTTCTTCAAATCTATTAAGTGCCCCTTTCTCAAATGCGATAAGGTCAACTTGTTTTCTGCCACTTTTCCCTATATTTCCAATTTTCACAAAATGTGCACTTTTACAGTCATCTCTATATAGAGAGCCAAATCTTTTCTTGACAAAATAGGAGATGCTTTGTGTAATAACTGGTATCGTATTGTTTCACCACAGTGTAAGGCAGTGGGACCGGGGGCATGTGCACAATGCCCCAAGTTTCATAAGAGTAAACACTGTCCCTTTAATAAAAACAATGGTGCTCGTTTTCGATGCTATCAATTGCTTCTGATGTAAATGGGTCATTTTGATACGAGTAGTGTGTCCATTATACAGTAAAACGTGGGCCCTTTTAATAAACTACCTTCTTTTCAACTAATAAAAAAGGCACGTTCGAACCCATCCTTTAAACTGCACGCCCTATTTAACTTCATCGCATAGCGAGGCTATCATGGGCCCTTTTGCAAGCATATAAAATTGTAGAGGCGCGATAGCTTAGTCGGTAGAGCAGTGGTCTCGTATCCGGTGACCCGGGTTCGAAACCAAGGCGATGCGCTAGGGCCCTTTGGTAAGGCATTAGTCTTCATTATCAGGTCCCTCGGAAAGGACCTACAGCCGTCGGCCGTCTGGTTGCTTACTTACAAGCATTTATGCTTTCTTAGCAGTCAGGTAAAATAACCAACCAACCAATTTAGACAATTATTAAGGAATTTTCGGGGCAAATGCTGACTGCAAAGATCGGTAGCAATGCAAACACATGAATAATCATTATTTTGCTTGGCAATGCTTGCTTCTTTAGCTCGCAAATGAATCTTCAGACCAACAACTATGATGCGGAAGCTTTACCTTGAAAACGTAAAAAGTGTAACGTTAAAGAGAGGAACAAGAAAATGCTGAACACATACCTGACAATGAATTGATTAATTGACAGGATGTAGGAATATTCAAATTTCTATTTAAAACAATGCTTACATTACGATTGTACGTGTCCCTTTTTTCTTTCTTTCAAACACGGTAGCTTTTCGTTGTTGCCCCCTCTTTGTATCATTTGTCATTCGTGTCCATAGGGTTCACGGTTTACCTTTGTTTTAACAGGGCAATACTTGTCAGTCGATGCGTATAGCCGCTTTGGGTGGGGATGGCGTCGTACACCATCGAGACATTCAGCAGGGCAGGTTGCTCGTCTTGTATCACCCATGTTAGCTCCCGTGAATGAAGGCGAAGACCCAGCATGTCTTCTATTCTGGTACCACATGCATGGAGGGGATGGTGTGGGTCAGATCAGGGTCTACGTCAAGAATGAATCCTCAGAGGAGTTAGGTGATCCGCAATGGCTCCTTGGCGGTGAACGAGGGAACGTTTGGCGCGCTGCTGAAATCAGAATTGAACAACTTCTTAAATTTCAGGTAAATAATATACAGATGATGATGTTGTTGTTGTTGTTGGAGGTGATGGTGTGGATCAGATCAAGGTCTATGTCAAGAATGAAACCTCAGAGGAGTTAGGTGATCCGCAATGGCTCCTTAGCGATGAACGAGGGCACGTGTGGCGCGCTGCTGAAATCAGGATTGAACAACTTCTTAAATTTCAGGTAAATAATATGCAGATGATGTTGTTGTTGTTGTTGGGTTTATCGGTGCTATCCATCGATTCCGATGATTCCCGCCAGGCTGTGTGTGAGGGCGTCTTGCTCTCACTTCTGCTGCTCTACGTTTCTGTGATTCTGATACTTGCCCGGTGTGTGAGATAAAGATTTACCTTGACCGTTGTTATTGAAAAGCTATCATGTGATACTCTATAGTATTAATGACTGCTTTGAGAGAAATAGTTGTTTTTATACGCTCAAGGAAAGGTTAGAATTGTGCTATTGCCCCGAGGCGTGCCGAGGGCAATAGCCCAATTGTAACCTTCCCGAGAGCGTATAAAAACAACTATTTCTCGAATATTAAAGCAGTCATTAATACTTTTATATGCCGAAAACAAAAGAGGCAACTAATGACACCACCTTTGCCTTTCTCTAGTTTATCTGCACGGTTGTTTTTAATGAGTGTATCTTTGAGAGTAGACTAGATCTAGATTCTAGTCTAAGCAAGATTTTTTTACAATTTTGGGGGTGGACCGGCCCTGTGGGGAATAGAGAGAAGAACCTGCGCTTTCATATGACACCTCACTTATTGAGTATCACCTTCAGGATCACAACAGATAAAGGTTTGAATCTCGAATTGGAAAAAAAAAATTGACTTTTTTGCATGGTCGCGCAATGCACGTAGACTGCATAGAGACTGCATTGCGTGTAATCTTTAAGGGAAGAATATAGCACACAACATCGGGTGCGCGATCAGACACCATGACAACTAGATCTATTTTCGTCTATTATATGTCTATGCTGCATGGTACTCCATTTTCAGCAACTAAACTAACATGTTTATGGATAATTTCACGTACCCTTTTTGTTGTTCTTGCTGTCAGCGAGTCTTGCATTTGATAAGTTGAAAACTTGGGACAGTTTCTTTAGCCATTTTTGTCTTGTTTGGAATTGTCTTGTCTTGTATGAAAATACCGACCAATTCTTCGCACACGTACGGTATCCTCGATCGCTCAAACCATTTTTTAACATGTAAACCTATGGGGTAACCATGGAGACTGAACTATTTTCCCGGTAACCATGGTTACTGGGATTTTAGAACTGTTTTAACCATGGTTACTGGGAATTTTACAGAAATAGTTAAAGTTTATGAATGCAATTTCGACCAATCAGATGGCTGGATTTCTTAAGTGAGGTATATAAAACATCTTGTTATACATGTGTTCGCACAAAAGTCCAATATAACATGTTTTTAATGTTATTTTAATGTTATACCGCGCTCGAAAATGAATTAGTATTCCCATCAGTCTTCTACGTGCGTACCCTTAGGTTGCATTCTCATAGTGGAGCACGTAGTAGATCACAGCAAGACTACATGAAACTCATCAAGACGGTTGTTGACTAGAGAATAAAACGAGGCATAAGATCGAAATACCCTTATTTATATCTAAAATATATTGAATACATATCGGTGTTTAATGAAGCATTATATTCGCCTCCAAATTCTGCATTACCCTCGTACAATTACTCCCACCTGTCCTTCTGCCTCGATCAAATATAACATCACTTGGAGAAAATCTGAATGGGTCGGTTCACAAATATTTATATAATATTGAATGGTTTGATATAAAGGTAAATCCCACGCGCTCATGAGCATATTTCACGCCGGAACGACTAGCGAAATATTTTCAAGACAAGTGCGATATCATACACATATGATATGAATGTTCTGGAGTTCAATATAACAAAAAATATGAACGGGCAAATTCAGAATTTTCATCTGGGCCTCAAGCGGAGGTAATAGCAGTACGGGAGTAATTCTGAATTGGGAGACGCTTAGGTTATAAACTGGACTTGCAGCTTAGGAGTGCCGGTTAGGTGTACACTTTTGAAATAACCAATGGCACAGTCGGAAAATTGTCATATCATCTTCGAGGAACCGTCTATTTGTAACTTTTTTTGTTACCTAGTATACTTTGATTACAAATTTACATTATCACTATTACTATCAGAGTCTTTGGTCGCTCGCTTCGCTCACAAATAAAGTTAACTTGGAAAAAAAGAAGTCAGTAATCTGGTGAAAGACAAAACAGATTAATGAAATGGACAAAACGTGTCGTGTATAACTTATTGAAAATGTGAACCCTAAATTAAAGGAGCCATATATTTATGATATGTCTAATTGTGTAAATCAACTCTAATACAGTATCCCAATTCGCTTTTTTTCCCTTAGATTATCTTCGAATTTACGGCTGGAAACTTGGAGAATATTGCTATCGATGATGTGAGCTTATCACGCTATGAATGTCCTGGAGAACGTGAGTATATAACGAAACGAATACAGAGATATCTGGTAATTGTTGCTACAGGGCTTTCTTTCTAATTCATCACAAGTAATTCAACATATATCACTTCTTTCACTTTTGTGCAAAAAGTGGGCTAAGAAGATGAACGAAAACCTAAGTTGTGAGAGATGTAGGAATGCAAGAGATGGAAGAGATTAAGAGTTGTAGGAATGCAAGTGGTGTAAGAGATTAAGAGCTGTAGAAATGCAGGAGATGGAAGAGATTAAGAACTGTAAGAATGCAAGAGGCGTAAGAGATTAAGAGCTGTAGAAATGCAAGATATTGAAGAGATTAAAAGCTGTAGAACTGCAAGAGATGGACGAGATTAGGAGCTGTAGAACTGCAATAGATGGACGAGATTAGGAGCTGTAGAAATGCAAGAGATGGAAGAGATTATGAGTTGTGGGAATGCAAGAGATTGACGAGATTAAGAGCTGTAGAAATGCAAGAGATGGAAGAGATTAGGAGCTGAAGAAATGCAAGAGATGGAAGAAATTAAGAGTCGTAGGAATGCAAGAGATGGACGAGATTAAGAGTTGTAGGAACGCAAGAGATGGACGACATTAAGAGTTGAAGGAATGCAAGAGATTGACGAGATTAAGAGTTGTAAGAATGCCGGAGATGTACGAGATTAAGAGCTGTAGGTATGCAAGAGATGTACGAGATTAAGAGCTGTAAGGTATGCAAGAGATGGAAGAGATTAAGAGCTGTAGGAATGCAAGAGATGGAAGAGATTAAGAGTAGTAGGAATGCAGGAGAGTGAAGATATTAAGAGTTATAAGAATGCAGGAGATTACGAGCTGTATATAGGAATGCAAGAGATGGAAGAGATTATGAGTTCTAGGAATGCAAGGGATGCACGAGATTAAGAGTTGTAGGAATGCAAGGGATGTACGAGATTAAGAGTTGTAGGAATGCAGGAGAGTGAAGATATTAAGAGTTGAAGGAATGCAAGAGATGAAAGAGATTAAGAGTTGTAAGAATGTAGGAGATGGGAGTGATTAAGAGCTGTAAGAATGCAAGAGATGTACGAGATTAAGAGCCGTAGGTATGCAAGAGATGTACGAGATTAAGAGTTGTAGGAATGCAAGGGATGTACGAGATTAAGAGCTGTATGAATGCAAGAGATGTAAGAGATTAAGGGCTGTAAGAATGCAAGAGATGGAATAGATTAAGAGTTGTAAGAATGCAAGGGATGTACGAGATTAAGAGCTGTATGAATGCAAGAGATGTAAGAGATTAAGAGTTGTAGGAATGCAAGAGTTGGAAGAGATTATGAGTTGTGGGAATGCAAGAGATGGACGAGATTAAGAGCTGTAGAAATGCAAGAGATGGAAGAGATTAGGAGCTGTAGAAATGCAAGAGATGGAAGAGATTATGAGTTGTATAAATGCAAGAGATGATAGAGATTAAGAGTTGTAGGAATGCAAGAGATGGACGAGATTAAGAGTTGTAGGAATGCAAGAGATGAAAGAGACTAAGAGTTGTAAGAATGCCGGAGATGTACGAGATTAAGAGCTGTAGGTATGCAAGAGATGGACGAGATTAGGAGCTGTAGAACTGCAAGAGATGGACGAGATTAGGAGCTGTAGAATTGCAAGAGATGGTAGAGATTATGAGTTGTGGGAATGCAAGAGATTGACGAGATTAAGAGCTGTAGAAATGCAAGAGATGGAAGAGATTAGGAGCTGTAGAAATGCAAGAGATGGAAGAAATTATGAGTCGTAGGAATGCAAGAGATGTACGAGATTAAGAGCTGTAAGGTATGCAAGAGATGGAAAAGATTAAGAGCTGTAGGAATGCAAGAGATGGAAGAGATTAAGAGTTGTAGGAATGCAGGAGAGTGAAGATATTAAGAGTTATAAGAATGCAGGAGATTGCGAGCTGTATATAGGAATGCAAGAGATGGAAGAGATTATGAGTTGTGGGAATGCAAAATATGGACGAGATTAAGAGCTGTAGAAATGCAAGAGATGGAAGAGATTAGGAGCTGTAGAAATGCAAGAGATGGAAGAGATTATGAGTTGTATAAATGCAAGAGATGGAGAAGATTGAGAGCTGTAGAAAATTTATGCAAGAGATGGAAGATATTATGAGCTGTAGAAATGCAAGAGATGATAGAGATTAAGAGCTGTAGGAATGCAAGAGATGGAAGAGATTAAGAGTTGTAGGAATGCAGGAGAGTGAAGATATTAAGAGTTATGAAGTGTAAATGCATAAATCAACGAATCGACCAGCTGTCATCAGATCTTAAGAAAGTCCAACATGCAGTTGAAGCTATTCTCGATGCTCCTAAGAATGTCAAGACCAACCCCTCCCCCAAGAAGCAGCGGAGAACCCCACCACCCGCCCAGAAGTCAGATCGTCAACAAGATCAGATATCATCGGCCGCTTTTCAGTCTCAATGCATGTATCCACCGCAACCCCCTCCTCCTCATCAACGTATGCAGTTTGTCCCGCCCACTTCAGACTTCCCAGCACCCCTCCCTCAACGTAGACTGAACCCACAATTGGACCAATCCCGTTACCAGCCGCTTCTACAACCCCCTTCGCGTCCTATGCAACCACCTCCGAATGAACCGACAATCAACCACCATCATCCCAGACCATCTACATTCTTTAACCATGACCTCTACCAGAATCAAGGTTTCGCATTTTTCCCCTCTCCATACAACCAGAGCCAACGCCGCTCCTACGCTTCAGTAGCAGCCCCGCCCACCTTTTACAACTACGCTTCAGCGAGCTGCACTTATTGCGGCGAACTCAACCATCGTGAACATAAATGCAAACATGGTGTCCAGCTTCAATGCCGACGATGCTTACAATACGGACACAAAGAAAAAATGTGCCATTACTAGGTTGCAGGCCAGGAAGAGTGTGCCTGTGAAAGCGAAGTATCTTTGAAGCAAAGTGATTTACTTTCATTTCCTAATGAGCATGACAAGTGTGCTAGTAAACTCTCCAAAGTAAAAGGATTAAAAATTGGTCATCTAAATGTTCGAAGTCTACATGGGAAGATAGACGAAATTCGTTTTCTGACCTCTAAGATCAATCTTGATATATTATGTCTTACTGAGACATGGTTGCATGACATGATAGATGATAGCGTAGTTAAAATTGATGGTTATCACTTAATAAGAAGAGACAGGAATAACAGCACTAGAGGAGGTGGTGTCTGTATATATGTTCGTAATATCATTGTTTTTTCAGAAAGATATAACTTGTTAAGTATTAACGTAGAGGCCACTTGGATTGAATTATCATTGAAATCTGATAAACTTATCATTGGGTGTTTATATAGACCACCGAATTCTGACTCTTCTTATTTTGATAATATGCTGAATATTTTTGAGAAAGTAGCATCTGAAGATAAGGACCTAGTTATATTGGGTGATTTTAATTATGATTATAAGTTTGATGCTGCAAGTTTTAGTGATAATCCTGTTAATATGATTGAAAATCTCTTCTCATTAACACAATTGATCCATAAACCCACCAGGGTTACAGGCACCTCTTCTAAATGTTTAGACCATATTCTTACTTCTGTACCAGATAAGCATATACTAAGTGACGTAGCTAAGATATCCTTAAGTGATCATTACTTTATATACACATGTATAAATGTCAACAATACTTCTAAGAATGTTCATAATGTAGTACGATTTAGAGACTATAAGAATTTTAACGAGAATGCTTTTATTGATGATTTAAAACATTCTGACGTACTTAATAATAATTGTACTTTTTGTATTCCCCTACGAGAAAAGTGGGTTGAATGGAAACAGGCTTTTTTAAATTGTTGTAACAAACATGCTCCTGTAAAAGAATGTCGGGTTAAAACTAGGCACTGCCCATGGATAAATTCTAATATTATTAAACTCATTTATAAAAGAGACTACTTAAAGAAAAAATATGATAGACTAAAAATTCCATATCTATTGACTGAATATCGAAATCTCAGGAATTCAGTCACCAAGCTCATACGAAAAGAGAAGAGAAAATATTTTGATTCAGTATCCGAGAGATACAGTAATGATAGTAAGAAGTTATGGAAGGAGTTAAGCAAAATTACTGGAAGGGGGAAAAAAGACTCTGTTTTACCATCTGATTTAGACAGTAATAAATTGAACGATTATTTTGTAAATATTGGTAAAAAGATTTCAGAAACTTTCAGTAATCACGATTTATCATGGAACCACCCTGAAAGTATACATACCTTTGTCTTGAAATCAATTAGTCCCGGGAAAACTAAACATAGTCTCTCTCTATTGTCGAAAGAGAGTAGCCTTGATATCTTAGAATTTGATAGAAAATTACTTCAAATCTCAGCTCCTTATATTAATATTTCTCTTAATTGTCTTTTTAATGAAAGTTTATATTGTGGATTTTTACCTAATGATTGGAAATTGGCCAGAACTACGCCTGTTTATAAAGGTAAAGGCGATAAAAATAATATTTCAAATTATAGACCCATCTCAGTTGTATGTCATATTGCTAAACTGCTTGAAAAGGAAGTTCAGTCTCAATTTTTATCTTACTTGCAGACTAATCATCTTATTAATGTTGACCAATATGCTTTTTTACCAAATCATTCAACGAATACATGTTTACATAGAGTCATTGATGACTGGTATGAATCTTTTAATGAAAAGGAAAAAGTTGGTGCATGTTTTCTTGATATTTCTAAATGTTTTGATTGTATTGACCATGAACTTTTGTTGTCCAAATTGAATAAGTATGGTATTTTAAATACTGAACTTAAATGGTTTTCTAGCTTTTTATCTGGTCGGAAACAAGCAGTTTATTGTCATGGTAAACTGTCCGAAACTCAGGACATAACTATAGGAATTCCTCAGGGGAGTATTTTAGGCCCCTCACTCTTTCTTGTTTTTATAAATGATATAACTGATTGCTTACGATTAAGTACATGTAATATATACGCTGATGATGTTGTCTTATATGTTTCTGATATGGATATTAATGTCATTACATCTAAGCTCCAAGCAGATTTGTATGCTATAAATGAATGGTATTGTAAAAATAGATTACGTATTAATACTAATAAGAGTAATATTATGCTGTTGAGTAGTAACACACGAGGTAACGATGAATTAAGTCTGAAGGTACATATTGATACTGAAACAATAGAACAAGTAAGAAGTATCAGATATTTAGGGATTGAAATTGATGATAGATTATCTTGGGATATCCACATTAAATCTCTTACCAAATCATTAAGTTATAAGATTTTTACTTTGAGAAAGCTCAGTAAATTTTTAAGCTCTTCCATTTTAAATAAAATATACAAATGTACCATACAGCCAATCTTAGATTATTCTTGTTCCGTATGGGGAAACTGTTCTTTACAAAACAGAAATTTTCTTTTAAGACTGCAAAAAAGAGCTGCACGTATTGTCGTAGGGAATTTTGATTATAATGTAAATAGCTTGAGTATAATAAATTCATTAAAATGGCAATCCATTGACACTAGACGGGACTATTTTTTATCATGTATAATGTACAACCGTATTCATGGAAAAGCCCCAGTACGATTATGCAATGAAGTGGAAATGGTTTTTGATAGACATGGTTTTAACACTAGACTTGCCAATACGCTGAATGTTGTTTTACCTAAGCCTAATATTGAATGTTTTAAGAATTGTTTTAGATACGCTGGAGGTAAAATCTGGAATAGTCTACCTTCTGCTTTTCAAAACGCTAAATCTATCGATGTTTTTAAACGTATGTACAAGGACAAATTTTTTAAACCTGTGTAATACAATGCCGATTCATTTACTGCTTTGACATGGCTTATCTCTCTCTCTCTCTCTCTCTCTCTCTCTTTCTCTCTCTCTCCATTTCCCTCTCCCCTCTTTCTTTCTTTCTTTCCCTCTCCCCTCTTTCTTTCTTTCCCTCTTTCCTCCTTTACTTTTTACCAGTTTCCTTATATCTTCTCTCCTCTTCTATTTTTTAGGGTGATATTTTAATGCCTTTTATTAAATGTGATTTGATATTTTTTCCGCTGTTAATTTTATTTATTTCATTGTCGTTTTTGTTTGTTTTTTTGTTTTGTTGTGCTTTTTACTATTTTTAATGCGTATTATGCTTATATGTTAGTTTTATACTGTTCTTACCATTGCCTGTGAGCTTTGGTGATATTCGTTATTTATATTTCCGTGTTTTTATCCTGTTCAGGACCATGATGTAAAACAGATTTTGTATCTACAATGTATATCTGATTCTTGATATCCTGATTAAATATATTTCAATAAAAAAAAAAAAAAATAAGTTATAAGAATGCAGGAGATTACGAGCTGTATATGCAAGAGATGGAATAGATTAAGAGTTGTAGGAATGCAAGAGATGTACGAGATTAAGAGTTGTAAGAATGCAAGAGATGAACGAGATTAAGAGTTGTAAGAATGCAAGAGATGGAATAGATTAAGAGTTGTAGGAATGCAAGAGATGTACGAGATTACGAGCTGTAAGAATGCAAGAGATGAACGAGATTAAGAGTTGTAGGAATTCAAGAGATGTACGAGATTAAGAGTTGTAAGAATGCAAGAGATGGAATAGATTAAGAGTTGTAGGAATGCAAGAGATGTACGAGATTACGAGCTGTAAGAATGCAAGAGATGAACGAGATTAAGAGTTGTAGGAATTCAAGAGATGTGCGGGATTACGAGCTGTAGGAATGCAAGAGATGTACGAGATTATGAGTTGTAAGAATGCAGGAGATGGAAGAGATTACGAGTTGTAAGAATACAGGAGATTACGAGCTTTAAAAATGCGAGAGATGGGAGAGATTAAGAGTTGAGTAGGAATGCATCTGAGATTCAAGAGATTCTACAACAGGGCTTGGAAATTATCTGCTTAAATTCTACTGAATATCAAATTGTCCTGATCCTGATAATACTAGCTTAGGGATAACTTCTCCGAGCGCGTTTTCATCCACTAGATAATATCGTTTTCAGATAAATAACAGTGTGCAGAGCATGTAGAAGAATCGCTGCAAGAAAGTTTCCACATATTATTAAGAATTTGCGTAATCATTCAACTGATTTTCTCCATACAAAACTAAACAGTGTCATTGATGGTTGATTAATTCGTTTCATTGATTTATTTGTTTCTTTTATCGTGATCTAGACCCAGTGGCCATTGAGCCAAGTGTCGATTGTGATTTCGGAGAAGCTGAGATATGTTACTATACGCATGACCCCACCGCAAACTTTAACTGGGAGTGGACGAACCGAGCCACGGATAGTTCCTTCACTGGCCCCGCCCAGGACCATACAAGAGGAGATGAATTGGGTAAGACCGGTTTGGCTCTTTCAATAAGCCTTTTCGGGATCGGACACGGGTGGATAAAAAGGCTAGTTATCTAAGTTAAGAATCGTTATGATATAACCGACGTGTATTCGCATATTCACTTTTCATGAAAAAATAAACGTGGAAGCCGCTTGAGATAAAGCCTTGTCCAGAATTGTAGGCCAAGAGATTGTCTAGATTGACCTAAAGTAGTCACTCCATCTAGCCCATTAGATGTTACCCTTACCTAGTAGTTAGACTAAGAGTCATTGACAAATATGTTGTCGGTCTAACCGTAGCTGTCGGGATTACGGGTCCCCAGAACAGACCCCACATTAAAGGGATGTTACCCATGCTCCAAACTTCGTCAAATCTCTCCAAAGGAAGTTGTAGGAAAGAACTATTTAAAACAAGGGCGAATGTTGCCTGTACCCAATCTGACTTGGCACCATTTGAACTGTTTTTCACGGGAAGGGGGTTATTTTTATGCCTCCGCCCCCCCCCCCATCTTGGCTGTGTTTGACATGAAATATTTGTATGGATATCGACATTGATGTACAAGAGTAGCATACATACTTTGTTTCTTCTTTTGGGGTTGTTTATTTGTTTAAAAAAAACAATGCTCATTTGTAAAACTGATATATCTTAACAAAGTGGGCTATCCATATATATATTCCTCATTTTATATTACGTTTCTATTATGTATGTATTGTTTTTATAATGTGATTTGGAAAATGTATACCATACCCTCCATGTAAATCAGATGGATATATTGCATAATTTATTATTTCAGGTAAAATCTTTCTTTCGTGATGTTAAGTATCAATATTATTAATATCGTAATCTATACCGGGAGGCAATGAACAGTTTTGATAGTGCTCAGTTTCGCCCTCTCTCTCTCTCTCTCTCTCTCTCTCTCTCTCTCTCTCTCTCTCTCTCATACTTCCTTGTCTGTATTACCTTCCTCAGCTAGCTGTCATGACTATCAATGTCTAGTTATGGGCTTAAATTATTATAAATTAGGTAAGTTAGATCCAAAAGGAATACAATGCTCCTTTCTGTAATGATCGATCTCTTGGTTTTGACTTAGACCACCAATCGATAGTACATTTCAAATCAAGTTTATAATTTTAATCAAGTTAAATTTAAAAAAAAGAAAGACTTGCGCTCCATAGCATTAACGGAACACCAGTTACACATTATTTAGGCTCTAAAAACACATCCACCCCAGGAACCCCTTTCGCTGTTTCGCTCCGTCCCAACTATGACCATATTCTCCTTCAAAATGTAAGTGCATAAAGACTATTTGGTTCATGCTATGAAAAGTTGACATCGTTCGTTCGTGTCTCGTTAGATCAAGATTAATGTATCTTGATCTTCGGAGTAGTTGCTACAACCGGCCGTGTCAGACACGTTACCCCGGGGTGCGAGATAGGACTCTTGTAGCGTGCCCCCATTTAAAACAATTATACGATAACAATTAACATTACATTCAATTAAAAGTATGAAACTATCAAAACGTTGACATAAGTACATGTTTATTGTTTCTATTGTAATCAGGATTCTACGTACACATAGACAGTGTCTACCAGAGACCAGGAAGTAAATCTAGACTCATCTCTCCTCTTATCAACGCTCCACAACGCTCATCTTGTCTTGAGTTTTGGTTTCATATGTATGGCAGCCATATTGGACAGTTGAATGTCTACTTCAAATACAATGACAGCGCCCTCCCTGATAAACCAGCTTGGTCACTTTCTGGTAACCAAGGCAACACATGGCACAGAGCATCTTCTTTAATCACCGACATGACGCGAGACTTCAATGTATGTTCTTTCACTTTCAATCTTTGTTATTGCCACTTGCGCGTTCATTCTTTGTTGTGTGATCTGCACACTACCGTGTGAGTCAAAAAAAGTTTACACCTAAAAAATTGCTAATTATTTTATAAATCATCTATAAACAGTAAATTATTATACATCTTATGATAGAGTGTTTTATCCCAAATCATTTGGTATCATTTTTGTGTGGTATGTGTTCACGCTTGGATGAACAGGAAGCATTGTTTGCGAGAGTGCAAAAATCGACTTGCGCCAAAGTGATGCCTACAGTATTATGCTGTGATTAGCGGATGAGAGAATGAATTGATTGTATCAAATGAAATGCACTGCATATCCTTTTTGCAGAAGGAAAGTCACACACACGCGCACAAATGTTGTTGATATTTGATATTTGATATGTGTGGCTTGATTGATTTTGTTAGGGATGTTATTTGGATCTGCAAAGACCGAATTAGAACCCAAATCCCATTGTTTTATTCAATCATCACATAAGCAACTTTGGCGCAAGTCGATTTTTGCACTCTCGCATACAGTGCCTCCTGTTCATCCAAGCGTGAACACATACCGCACAAAAATGATACCAAATTAATTGGTATAAAATACTCTTTCATTAGATGTATAATAATTTACTGTTCATAAATCATTTTTAAAATAATTAGCAATTTTCTAGGTGTAAACTTTTTTTTGACTCACACTGTATATCGCATGTCATAAGTTGCAATTAGTATATCGAACAGTATACCCAAATCTAGTCATTTTTGTATTGAAGGTTACAACCTTTCTTGCCTTGACATTTATTTCATGGTAAAAAGTAATGAAATGATCTGTCCTATGATTCCTTATTCATACTTCTGCTGTCAGTGAGGATTAAAACAGAAGGTTTTGTCAATATCTCCTTGTACCAATTCAAGTTTAAGTTGATTCAATGAATATTGGTCAAGCGATATGCATGTTAGACTTGAGTTTCAAAATTAATTGAAAAGTTATTTTCAATTTTTCTCTATTCATCGATCCCCAAGGAGTTGATTACCACCAGGTCCAGGTTATACCTTCAATACATTCTTCGTGAATTTGAACAAAATTTAGACTGTTTTCACCATATTGCATTATTGTTTTTTCACAAAATCCAATTTTCCATGGTTTTAACCGAAAATAACATACCTTGGTCCTAGAAAAGCAATTCACAATCTAGAAAATCTGTAAATATAAAGTTATAAACTGCTCTTCTGAAAAATATTTACAATGAAATTTCATAAAAGCCATTTATTTTGATGATTATTAAATAAACGTATTGTTTCCTTCTTTCTGAATTCTGATTATTGAGAATAAAACAATTCTTATCATGCCCCGTTTTCTTACCTTCTTTACCAATAAGATAACTTGATATTTAAATGACCAAAACATTCGAGATAACCCTTTTATTCCAGGGGGGGGGGGGTGAGGGGGTGGGGGTCTTATAATGTTCATGAAAGCATTTCTTACTATAATCTTTGAACCAGGAAGGAACCTGATAAATAATGTAAGCCACTTCGAAGATACTATTTAAGCATGGACAGATAAAGGTCATGTGTCGAAATCTGCCAAAACCAGCGAGACGAATGCTGGATACGTTTTCATGAAAGTTGAGTAATTATTATTCGATTATGCACCAATGGTATATATATTATATGGTATTGTATGGTCTATCGGACCTTCCCACTGCGTATTATAAACAGTAACATTTTCCATCTATACAGTAGGCTTGCAGATGCACCACGTGAGAGAGAGGGAGGATTGAGGAGTCCTGAAAGAACTCTCGGTAATCTTTCTTGAGGGTGTGTAGTCGTGAAAAGGACTGTTGGTGTTGTCTATTTTCCATCTACTACGGAAAGCCTGGAATTTGGTTTGTGATTACTCATGAATTGATGAGTATTATGATTGATTTCTCACTTTCTACCGTTCTTCACGAATAGGTTGTGTTTGAAGGAGTCCTCGGCCTCTATTATCGAACCGATATTGCCATAGATGACGTGCAGTACTTTCCCAATTCACCCTGTCCAATGTGTAAGTATATATATAGAAAGGTAAAATGACAACCGACAGTATTTACTTAATCATTCAATTAATTAAAAATATAACTAATATATACTATACTGGAGCGAAAGTGCCATGAGTGAACGTCATTTACCCTACCATAGTGGCCATTGCGACACATGTAATGTAGGACTACACCATGTTATTGGTAAGATCACATGATGGATATTAGCCCTGTTAGGCTATTTGTATGATCCCATATAATTATGGCTAAGAAGGGGTTCACTCTCTGACAATATATGGCTGGGAAAGGTTTTACTCTTTGATAGGGTTTACTCTCAGACTATTCAATCACGATTGAAAACACTGATGGGCCGTTTTGTCAATGAAAAATACCACAGACACCCGCCCCCCTCCCCCTCCCCCCGGAACGAACGTTGTACTGCTTATTACGAAATGCCAACTCTAAAGTTGCTTTCCATTTGTCATGTTTAAGTCTTTCAATATTATTATTTTGATAAGCTGTGATTATGCGTCTACTAGTCTAAGGGTACGTTTTTGCTCCACTTTTTTCTGGCCAGAATGAGGCATTTGTTACGCGTTTAGTTCAAAACACGGTTGCGTTCTCATTTTTTTAGAATCACCGAAAAACGGCGATCGTAATCGCCGATCGTAAACTCACAAAAAAGTGCGTTTTATTATTATTACTGAATTCCTGAGCGTTTACGATGAGCGTTTCAAATCACTCATTCTGCCTTCAAAATTGAGCATAAACGCACTCTATTATTAGTATTACTGAATTACCCTTAGATCCCACAGAAGAACCTATCCCAACTACATTACCAGCAGGACTCCTGTCAGATTTGTCATGCAGCTTTGAAGATGATTCGTGTAACTTCACTCAAGCAACAGATGACATCATGGACTGGAGGCGTGTTAGAGCCAATTATCTTCAAGAAGATATCAACGGTTATTATTACAGGAGCATGACGATTAATCGATTTCCAAACTGGAACAGACTTAAAGGACCATCCGGTGACCACACCTCACAGACTCCTGATGGTATGATACTGTTTAAACACTGGTATAATCTGACATTAGAGGAATATGAACATGTTGAATAATCGATTTCCAAACTGGAACAGACTTAAAGGACCATCCGGTGACCACACCTCACAGACTCCTGATGGTATGATACTGTTTAAACACTGGTATAATCTGACAATAAAGGACTATGATCATGATGCTGATGGATAATTGTATTCACTGCTGTCTAAATCATCAAAGGTATTTTCGTGTATATGTAAAATGAGTATAAATACAACTACTCAATGCATATATACTTTAAGAGCAGAGCCAAGAAGAGCAAGGTATTAAGGGAATAAGGAAATACATATGAATAAACTTAGATGTGAAACTAAATTGTACTTGAGTGTGCAATTTCAGGGTAAAAAACATAAAGATACAATCGAGGGGAAATAACTTAAGGAGAAAAGTAATAATCTATTCACTTTCTATCCATTTCTAATATAATAATGACACTGATCTTTTCAAAAGTCATCAACTATTTATTAAATTTGCAATTCCTTGACCCTTGTATCTACCTCTTTGTTGTCGGTTGTTCAGGATGGTTCATGGCTTTCTGGTATCGTGGAAGCTGGGATAGACCTCGGCTGATGTGGAATGATCGTACTAGGGTACTATCACCTTTGTTGAGTGGATCGAATCAACCGAGATGTCTCACATTCTTCATGTACAAGGATGGTTACACCAACGATTTCTTAAATGTCTACATCAAAGAGTACGGAGAAACACGAGAAATCGATCCAAACTGGGCCTACTTTTGGCGTACGAATAAGAAATGGTGGAAAATACGCGTCGATATCCCTGCTTCCCAAAGACCATTGAATGTAAGTTTATCAAAGATTACAATCATGTCAAATTTCAATCAGACATATCATTTTATAGAACTTTGAATGACGTTTAGTATTATGATAGACGTAGAAGGTATCCTTTTTCCAAACCATGAATTTAAGGAATACGTATAATATTGAATTAATGCCATGTGATTTATTATCCCAGCCATTACCATACCAATAACTATAACAACAATAATAATAATAATAATAATAATAATAATAATAATAATAATAATAATAATTAATGACAATAAGGATAATAGTTATAATGATGGTGATGATGATGATGATGATGATGACGATGATGATGATGATGATAAGATGGCCTATTGAAGATAATGGTGAGAAAGAGAACAGTTCGAAATATATTTCACATATTTAACTAGATTCTACTACTAACATATATATATATATATAGAAAAATAGCTTGGATTAACTGACATGTTCATTCACTCTGATTTTGTGTGTCTTAGATTATCTTTGAAGCTGTTGTGCCAGCTCCGAGTAGTCGTTATCGACAATACATGATGTATATTATTGATGACGTCACTGTCGAAAGTGGGATTTGTCCTAGAAGTAATGGTGAGCTTTTGTTTTCTTATTCCGCCCGGCATAGAGACTCTTTAAACTGTTTTCAACATGAACTACATGCAAGCCAAATCTGCCAGAGCGCTTACAAAATCCAAGAATGTGAAGAGAAACATAAATTCGGCAAAACAAAGTGTATACAGAGGATTACATAGAAGAACAAATCATACAAAACAAAGGATGAAAATTATTTAATATTTTTTAATCGTGATTCCCATGGGCATTTACAAGTTTCAGTTTCAGTTCAGTTTTCAGTTTCAGTTTATTTTCATATTTCTCACATGTTGTATAGTACATCATTACATATAGCATGTTACATTTTGAACTCATTTTAGGATGAGTTTATACAAACAACAAAAAAGAATGATACATAAGACTAAGTTGAATAAGGGAAGAAATATGATGGAGCCTAAAGAGAAAGCAATGCTTGTAGGTCATAGGCTCCGAAAGTTACAACAATGACATAGTCTTGTGTATATTAAAAAAAAAACGTAATTTAATTAAGTTGAAACTTATTATGAAGAAAAATAAACAATATTCATACACTTAGCAATATTTGTATAACATTTTCACTACCCGTACGCAATGGCAATTCACAGGGTAACAACAGCAAACTAAAAGAAACATTCAGTTTGAACATCGACAGTAATTATTAAAAGTAACATCAAGCTTCTTCTACCATTAAAGTTGCCAGGAATGGGGCAGGCAAATTAAATCAAACCGTGAAGGTCCCCCATTCCGAAATAAAACAGGTCAATCATATCATTACTGAGTAAAGAAGTATGATTTAAGGGATCTTATGAAAGTGGCAAGACGGTTAAATTCACGAAAAAATTATGAATATGACAGTATATATGACCATGAAAATATATGATCCCGATATTTGATAACCTGTCTGGTAAGAAAAGGAAATATAATGCTTGTAGATAATGCAACCATACGGCTTTGATTCCTCGGTAATTGAGGATGAATGATTTACCACAGGCGGTAATACATCGACCTTGTTTCGAATCCGATATCTGGCAGCTAGGACGTCCCAATATACGAAACCACTGGTCTAGCATTGAGCCATCCACTGTGAGTCTAAATCTCACTCGAATATAATATGGACACCGGAACGTATAGTTACCATGATCCCCATTTTCTATTATTATTATTATCATTATATTATTATTAATAATAATAATGATAATAATGAACGTTATTTGTAAAGCACATATCACTAACACAAAGAGAGTCCCTATGCGCTTAGAAAAGAAGGGAATAGAGATAGGTCGGAATAGAAATGAACATTAATTTGTAATATTATTATTATTACTATTATTGTTGTTGTTGTTGTTATGTTGTTGTCGGTGACAGGAATCCCTGGAACCTGCGACTTTGAAGAGGATTCCTGTGGTTATTCTGGCAAATGGACTAGGATTAGTGGGGAAACCCCTTCCAGATTTACAGGACCTTCCGGTGATCATTCATTTGGTAACGCAAGCGGTAAGTTACATGCTATCGGTTTTAATGACATTCTTTCTGTTTTGGTTTCTTTGGGGCTTCCAAGTGGGAAAGAAGAGTATAGTAATAATGACTGCTATGAGAGACATAGTTGTATTTATACGCTCAAGGGGAGGTTACATGATCGTGCTGTCGCCCCGAGGCGTACCGAAGGGTGATAGCACGATCCTCCCCGAGAGCCTATAAAAACAACTATGCCTCGAATATTAAAGCAGTCATTATAACTTTATATACCGAAAAGGGTCATAGAATACATGTGCGACTTACTAATCATGATAACCAAGTTCGCTATCGAGACCTAGTCTTAATAGGGTGTCTGATCGCGCACCATTCGAGTTTGTGTGCAAAAATCCTTTCCATTGAGATATTGCACGCATATACGTAAAATGCCAAAACCGGTCAATAGTCTTTTGAAAAGTGCCCTAGGGATTTTTTTCAAAAGACTATTGACCGGTTTTGTCATTTTGCGGGAATATCTAAAATCACGACTTCACTTTCGACCAATCAGATGGCTGGATTTCTAAAGTGAGGAATATAATGTTACATAACCCAGTCCTTTTACTACTAGGATTAATGTTAATCATGGTAACGGTTTTATATGAGAAAATAGCGGTGCAGAGTTTGAATTATTTGTGTGACTTAGGACACTACATGTACTACGAGACATCACAGCCAGTCCGACCAAGCCAGTACGGGGATTTGTTCTCGCCTCGGATGCACCTGTACGGAAAGCAGTGTGTACGCTTCTACTACCATGCCGGTGGCAATGACACTCGTAGATTGGAGGTGTACTTGCGAGAGCCTGCTCAGTACACGACCTATCCTAAGCTCACACTTTTGAAGACGATTGAAGGCAAACAGAAGAATACTTGGATGCCTGTCAATGCTGATATTGATATCAGTGGGGACTTTAACGTGAGTATACATACACAAGATCATTATCAAATATGACCCATCTTATTTATAGAGAAAGTTAAACGTTATAACCATTGGATTCCTCAGATCCGTATAATTAAGTGGGAATTCAGGTAAAGGACTATATTTTAGTTTTCCCTACTTTTTAAAAAGGACCGCAACTGGCTTTTATCATATTCATTTGGTTGATTGATCTTACGAAACCCATTGCCAATCCAGAGGGGGGAGTGAGGGCGCACCCCTATCTATTTCTCAACTACCAGCCACAAGCATTCACAATTAAATCGGACAAAGAGCCCACAGCTTGCCTATTACCATTATGTCCTTGCACAATATTTATGTCCAATGGCCAACTATCCTAATAATCATGTTATCAACTGCCCAACCGTTGTAATATTCACTTCAAAGTTAACAAATAATACTGCTTTTATCGGCTTGTAACTTATGTGAGTGCTGTAATTCGTAATATTTTTACATTGTGCCCTTAAAGAAATAAACCATGATCCAAATCTTGTAATTAGTCTGCTAGGAGGGTTTCGGAACTCATGGAAAAGAAAGTTGATATAGATGTTTGTTTAAACTTAGTACGTAACCCCAACCCCACCCACCACTTTTACATATGATAGGCAAATCAGAACATGAGGTCGAAAGGGACAGCTATAGAATAATATAGAAAAGACATTTCTTTATTAAATGTGGTATAGGGACAATTGTTTCATTTTGAATGGTGAAATTTGCATTTTATAGCACTAAAAGCCTCAACAGGTTGGTGCACCTTTACTTATTGTTATCAATTGTAATGCATTATTAAAGAGCCTCCTCCCTCTCCCGGATCACAGTGACCGCCCCCTGATAAATGCAGTCAAAATATTCCTTTGGTGCATACAGAACACTTTACAGAAAAATATACTGTCCTTCAGATGTCTGTTTATGAAATTGATACCATTAACGGGGTCTATTTTGTGTTAGACAGATTGTATTCAGAGCATATGCTGGACGAGGTTACCAGGGAGATATAGCCATCGATGACATCATCATTCTACCCCATCCTTGCATTGACCTTGTCACCGAAACATCATGTGACTTCGAGTTAGGACCCGATGCATGCGGTTTTACAAACTCCGCTAAGAATGAGGTCCACTGGGACTGGTACGATGCCATCTATGGAAAAGGTTTTCCTCTCATCAGTAAATCAGTGGGTAGGTTGTTTGTTCATCAACCAATGAATGCGCTCTTTACAACAAAAAGAAAAACAAAGAACAGGCGAAGAAAGGGAATTTATTAACTTAATTATTCAAGTTTTATTTAAAATAGAGGGTAGGTACATTCAGTTTAACAAAACTGCTTTCCAAGTAGGGACAATAAGTAAAGAAGTAACGAATAAGAAACCGAACTGCACCAATTACATAATAGCGTTTGAGCTGTGTACAGGTACACAAACAAATAAAATGGCAAGGTTTGAGTGAAGAGACCAAGAGGTAAATATTTATTGTTTTTATTTTTTTTACAGAATGTTACTGTAAACGATTTATTAGACGTATAATGACGTGAAACCAAAGGATTAGTCCAGGTCAGCAGTTAACAAGAACGGTAATATTGGATAACGTTATCTTGACTACAAAATAATTACAATCATATTTATTAAATAATGATTCTTGTCAGAGATACTTTGTTACCTATATTAAAAGTGTGGTCAACACATAACTACTGATTACATTTTCACAGCGTAATACATGTATATGGTCTACAGGAAGCGAAATTTTCATTTTCAGTGTCGGTATGGAGGCATTTAGTATAGACTTGATAGAATTCAAATTTATATTGATTATACTTTGTGCATGGTTTAGAAAAACAATGTTTTTTCTCCTTTCTCCTTCTAATTTTAGCTACCAATTCTTTCATGTATGTGGCGCTATCTCAATCATCCGTAAAACGGCAACCCTCTGAACTCTACTCTGGTCATCTGACTGTTTCACCCACCACTGGGGATCTCTGTGTCAGCATCGAGTACGTGATTGAGGGGACCAGCGAACAGACGATAGTTATGTTTGTGGAAGAAAAAGACGGGACGAGAAGAAAGGTCGGCTCTTTGACCGATAAGAACATGACTGAGTGGAAGATGTACACGTCATCCTTGCTACAGTCTCACTCGTTGAAGCCTTTTATTGTATACCAGGTAACCATTCACCTGAATGTCATTTAACATTAAAGGGAGTGTATCATGACGAGACTATGTGTCTTTCCCGTGGCCCTACTCGGGGCCAATCGGGTATATAATAATACGACTACGGACGACGCGACCGCAGCATTCACGTGCATGCAACATACGCGAAACCGGAGCGTGAGGAGAACTTGGTCTGTTTCGCGAACGCTGCGCACTGACCCAGTTAATCAAGTCCATTCGTTTACGTGCAGTTGTCCAAAAGAAAACATAGATGGCGTTAACCAGTATTTCCCATGATACACTCCCTTTAATCCTTTAGCAAGATCCATGTGCAATCATAAACACTGGGTTGGGGAGCTTTTCGTATTATAGTTTGGTCAAAAATGTGTTGTGTACAGATGTGGTCAAAGACCGACTTAAATTTCACATCGTTTTCTCCGTTGGAAATAAGCTTTAAGTTATTGTTAGCTTTTGTGGGTTCTTCTGTCAGGGTGTATCTCTCTCTCTCTCTCTATTGTATATTCCATGATATATAATTTACTAATAAAATCAATCAATAAATCAATCAATCCTTAACCCTTACTGTACTGGGGGGGGGGGGGGGGCTGGGAGGCCCCCCCTCGACATTTTTGGAGATCGCGCCGCAACCGCTCGGAATTTTGAATTGTCGTTTCATGACTTTTTTCCTTCAAGTCTTACGCACATTTTGATACCATTTTCGTCGAAATCGGATATACCTGTAAGGTGTTACATAACAATTAGTATGCGCATGTCATCAAAAAAGTGCTATAATTGCATATATTCATGTACAAGCAGAAATGTGAAGATATGAATTGATATCAAATTGCTTTTATATGTTTCTCAAAGTAACTTGATGTATTTCAGAACAAAAGAATACATTAGAAATAAAACAATAGATATAATAACAAATAAAAACAATGAAATACATAAGAAAATAAAAAGTTGAAAATCGCATCAAATTTGCATAAATTATCATTATTAATTCCATCAAATAACTATTTTTTGTGTTAGAAAAGAAGTTTCATATGAATAATGAGTTTCAACATAACAAAAGTGGAGTCTGACAATTTTGTAATGATTCTAGTTCCCTGTATATTACCAGATTAGATATTCATGAATGCGTAATTTGCGTATTCATAATTTATGCAAATTAACCTATGCATTTTCAAATATCATAAAAATAATGAAACCTCATGAATTTGAGATGAAGGAAACATTTATTCAATACATTTTCAAGATTCTTCACAAGTCTACGGACAAATATGTAGAGTTTTCTGTAAAATGCATAAAATTAGCATTTTGCATAATTAATTAGGCTATAACGACAAAAATTTGCATATTAGGAAAAAACTAATTATACCATCTTGTTCCTTACGTAAATATCTACAAACATGCAAATTTTCGCGTTCATCGGACATTCGACGGCCGAGATCATAGGGGGGGGGGCCTCCGAGGCCCCCCCCCCCCAGTCAGAGAGTGCTCGAAATAGCCCAGTACAGTAAGGGTTAATACTTCCAACTAACCTGCGTGAGTGGGGTGCTGATATCATAAATCTGGATCCATAGTTTATGAACATGGTTCATTTTTCTTAGATAATTTTCCGCTTCCTTATGCGATAAGTTGATAAAATACCATGATGAATTACATATTTTTCAAACTTTCTAATAATAATCTATCTATCGGTTTTCTACCGTTGCATTCTCATAGCTGAGAGCATCAAACTCACAAACCCTCCCCCTTCTCTCAGGCTGAAATATGTAATTCATAATTGGTGGGCTTTAAGTTTTTCCTTCATAGATAATAAAGTGTTGAAATTTTTATTTATTCAGGTCGTGGTATCCATCCAATCCACAAACAATGCTGCAGTAATTGCTATAGATAACTTTGTCGTGTCATCAGCAGCCTGCAACTCTCTCGGTAAATATATTGTCATTTGATTAAATGTCTGTGCGTGCGTGTGTGCGCGCGCCTACAAGTGGGCGTGTGGGACTGTGGGTGTAATATTATGAAGGTTACTTTCCTATACATGTGCAAAATTGTGCATGTATTATTCGTGTCTTGTCTATAGTGACGCGTTTTGTAGCTCTATAAGACCGCTAATAAGTAATATTAAAGGCACACTGCCATACTTGTAGCTACTTGCTCCCTCTATATAGAAAACTTCCCCAATCGGTGCCTGTTGGTCCCCCATGATCCTCTTTTTCTTATGTTAAATGAGAGCTGAGTTAATGAGATAGCCACCTGTCACAGTGACCTCGATGGCTCTCTGTGTGGTCTAATCCCTTCTGGCCCAGTAGTGGTGACGGTCTTTAATTGACTGATTTTGAAGAAAAGGAGATCAGACAATATCAATGTCAAAGCATTCTTTGGCGATATATTTACCCATTGCAATCTTCTTTTTTCTATTCGTGCTTCTATTTGAATTATTAGGATCGTTGAATGGCAGATCACAGACACGGTCATCAAGGAGTAGTAACCGTTCTGGTATGGCTGCTGGTATCATTATCCTCATCCTCATCATCGTGGCTGTCTTGGCTGTCTTGCTTTTCATCTATCGTAGTCGCATCCGATCCATAGTTCATCGCTGTTCTCAGTCCGTCACCGAGATGAATTATAAGCGTCACGATGTCGCCTTCGTCAACGAAGACAAGAAAGAAGCGGTAGAGATTCCGACCATCATTACTCAAGAACTGGATGCACCCGAGCCTTCCGTTGTCGATGGATAGTCTTTCATCAATGCCGATAAGAAGAGGAACATTGCCCATGTCTGTGATAGAGGATGGATGGATGGGCATGTCTTGGTGCAAACATGCTTTAAGTGGACTATTCCGACTGACACTTTAAAGAATATCTCATCATGACATAATATTCAAGTGTCTCGTAGTTCTTAGATATTCAAAAGTCGAGATACATGAAATGTTTATTCCTTTCTCTAGGTATTAAATGTCTTTTTCTTTTCTTTAATGAACCTAGCAGATACAGGTTTATCATGTAAAATATATTTCATATAGGCTGGTAATCAAGCATAACATTAAGTGATTCTCTTACATTATGGAAACAAATATATATATATATACATGTATAGAGTTGGGCCCCGTCTTCCAAAGAGTTGATATCAATCGCAACAGTATTTGCGATTGATATCAATCGCAACTATGTACATAACAGATAGGAGACTGCAAACTTGCGATTGATTGGAGGACTTAAGATTGATTTGGATCAATCGTATCTCTTTGTAAGACGGGGCCCTGGTGTGCAGAAATGAAAGTGAAATTTCAGTATTCTATGCCCTCCAATAATATATAATGTAAAAACATTGTACTACTCATCAACTCAATGCACAGCGTACTGTTTGCATAATGATATAACAGTTTGGTGGTGCCACGCAAAGAGAAGAAGTCCAGGACTCCCACCTTGAACAGACTTCGGGCGAATGTTGCTCCGAAATATAGCTACGCTTACTATCTGCGTACCTCTTGGTATTTGCGTACCTCTTACTATCTGCGTACCTCTTACTTGCTGCGTACCTCTTACTTTCTGCGTACCTCTTACTATCTGCGTACCTCTTACTATCTGCGTACCTTTTACTATCTGCGTACCTCTTACTATCTGCGTACCTCTTACTATCTGCGTACCTCTTACTTTCTGCGTACCTCTTACTATCTGCGTACCTCGTACTATCTGCGTACCTCTTACTATCTGCGTACCTCTTACTATCTGCGTTCCTCTTACTATTTGCGTACCTCTTACTATCTGCGTACCTCTTACTGTCTGCGTACCTCTTACTTTCTGCGTACCTCTTACTATCTGCGTACCTCGTACTATCTGCGTACCTCTTACTCTCTGCGTACCTCTTACTATTTGCGTTCCTCTTACTATTTGCGTACCTCTTACTATCTGCGTACCTCTTACTGTCTGCGTACCTCTTACTGTCCGCGTACCTCTTACTATCTGCGTACCTATTACTTTCTGCGTACCTCTTACTCTCTGCGTACCTCTTACTTTCTGCGTAGCTCTTACTATATGCGTACCTCTTTGATATCAGAGGAAGAGGTGACGGAGTAAGGACATTTTATTTTTTTAATGTCGATACTCTTTAAAGTATTTCAGGGCACTAGGAATATCTTCCATGAACATTGTATTACAACTTAAAAGATTGTTACTGCATTATTTTCTTGCTAAAGGGACAGAAACAAATATTGCGCTCTCTTTTTTTAGTGAGAAATACCTGCCCCTAACTCGCCAATTCGGGGGCCTTGTAAAGTACTAGAAAAATTGTATCCATAGTTTGTTAGGGATCGTAGCGACCGAACTAGAAAATTTAAGTTTAAAGCGTTCATTTGAGACTGCATTTTAGAACAAGAGAAAACTTGTTATACATGCACATGTTTGTATATCGAAATCAATTCACGTTATTTCTTCTATATTTCCTTCGTCTTGCGAGGATACCCAATGAGGGGGTCAAAATCGATTACTGCAAACAAGAACTAGATATTATTGCAAGTTGTTACGTCACACTTATTCAACAACATAGAAAGTTTATCGTTATATTAAAAAGGATTAAGCCACCCCTTGATAAAGCGGATCCCTCATTTCTCTCCTGGGTATGGAGTGGCAAATGTAGATTAATGACGATTAATAAGTGCCGTATCGGGGATCGAACTCGGGACCTTTGCACTTCCAGTCAAGTGCTTAAACCACTACACCCCCTATCCCCACTCGCTTACTATGTACAGGTTTATTGATTCAAAATACATTCCAACACGTTTAAATTGGTTTAACCAGTACCTTAATCATTTTTGTTTGGTTTGTATGTTATCGTATTGTATATGAAAGATTTCATAATTGTTTACGTAGTTGATTTTCATAATTGATGTATTCACCTGGTGTTAAGCTAGTCTTGTCATCTCTTTGGAAAAATAAAGTTACCATATTTAACAAAATTATCTTCATTCGTTGTGTGCTTGTCCTTAATATAGATCTTGAAACAATTTGAAATAAAGACTTTTGTAGCAAATAACAATGAAAAGATTAAGCCACATCATGGTGCGAATGGTAAGATATTTTGTTGATATAACAATATTACAATCGATAGTACGTTCGATGATACACTTTTTAACTCTATGCCAAAGACGGTACAAACGATAATCAAACACAATAGCCATACGCAAAATGTATGTGTGCGTGTGTGTGTGTGTGCAACGAGATTTTAATTGGCACCATCTTAAAAGATACCCAACATTCTTTATGATATTTTGTAGGCAATGTTGTAGTAGTATCTCACAATCATAATACCTTTGTGAATTGCGCAAGGATCTATTTCGGGAAGACGTAGCATTTGTCAGATGTTACAAGGTGTGGGGCTTGAATGGCACCAGTGCACAGCAATCGTATACCTATATAACGCCTGAATATTTTGCTGATGAGCTCTCTAGTAAACTCCAATTATTACAAACGGGTGGTTAGATTAATATTCTTCAGGTTAATTTCTTTTTCTTTTAAAAGAGATATAGGGATCCAAAGAAATGAATGTGCATGAAGAAATGTAAAGGACATGTTACGTAATATCCATAGATCTCTTTAGATTGGATATCATTAATTCAATTTTTGGTGCTTATTTAGGATGTTGCTAAACATATTCCCGTTTTGTTTTTGTTTTTTTGATTTTTGTTGAGACATCCTGTATATTTACATGTAGAGAGAGAGAGGGAGAGAGAGAGAGAGAGGGGGTGAAAGGGAGAAAGAAAGGGAATAATTATATCAACTTTCCCGCGTCCTATACAAACTGACGTACATGTATTTTATCTACTAACTCTTCTCCACTTGTCTATGAAATTCTCTCTCTCTCTCTCTCTCTGTCTCCCTCTGTCTCCCCCTCTCTCTGTCACACACACAGTTTAACATCTCTTCAAGCAGATACAAATTCCTTGTAGGCCTCGTAGGGGGGTTGATAATTCTGTCAGGAGCTATGGTTTTTCTAGTAATATTTCTTCTCTATTTAACTCGTAAATGCCAAACAACATAAATTATGGTTAGGAGGGTGTCTTTGCTTCAATTGAAGTATGTGAAAGGCGATCTATTTTTTTTTAAATTCCTTAAATGCAACTTTTACTGATTTTAGAATTTGTTGGAGAGTTATTAGGACTATCATTATGTTTACAATACCCTCACAATACACAAACAATAATAATAATAATAATAAAAACGTTACTTATAAAGCGCTTACCACCGAAGTCTCTAAGCGCTATAACAAACAAAATAGATTGATAAACAATTAAATATTAAACAAAACAAAATAGTGCAAATATACCAACAAATTACAATACATGTACATGTACATCAAAGTGAAGTGAGTTAATTAATCACCGAAAGCAATTTTGAATACATGTGTCTTAAGACTAGTTTTGAATAGGTTAACAGTTTGACAGTTTTTGACAAGTGACCATGCATTTGACAACAGGTGACAGGGTTAGGGTGATAATAATCTAGTTTCTTTTGTATTATAAAATAATTATTATTTTAACAAAGTAGTTATAAGTGGGTTGTGCGTCTTTTGTTTTGCATTGGTTGTTCGTTTTACAAGCTTGCTTTCTTTTTCCCGCTCTCATATAGATGATGGAAAGACGGGGAAATTGATACTGGGGTGTACGAACCTAGCGAAAATATATGCCATGTTCGTATATACATTATATTAGCATATTTACAATGATATGACGTAATCCGGGCTTGATTTGATTTCCTTAGGCAATGAAGTAGGGTACTGGATTTGCCATTAAGTTGATTTCTTAAAATTCCTGTGAGTGCATCATCAAAATCAGTTGTCTTAAACACAACTTAAGGAATAAGAATGACTACCCCCCCCCCACTCACCTGGCCCCCACCTCAAGAGCTACATGAAGTTAATTATCCGGCCTTCGGGAATCAGAAAACGACAACAACGCCTTTTTGGCAAAAAACAACAACAATGGAAACAACCTTAATATTGACCGGTTAAAAACTCGAATTCGGCCCAGAGAGTACGTTTCACTACAATGACACACGAAGACTTTCGAATTGACCCAATGAATACTCGTCGCTTTGTATTTTTCTATTGTTACGTAATAGTGATCTGCTGTACGTTGAAACGCAAATAGGGTCGATATGACTACCTTTCATGCATTGTCACGGCATATATATACGACATCAACCCGACACAACGAAGGAAGTGCACCACAATACATAGACGCATGCAGGACTGAAACTCTTACGTGCGTTAATGATGCCCGGGATGTTTGTTTGATCTAATTTTACAGTTCTTCGGTGTTACTTACTTCAATGATCGACACACACATGGGTGAGATGATCGTGTTTTATTAATGTACAAATTATGTACGAAACTTGTACTCTGTGTTAATCTATGCACTTTACAAGGCAACCAAAGAACGGAAGTTTCATCTCTATATGAAAAAAAGATGTGCTCTTCAGAAGTTTCTATTCCAAAAAAAAGGAACTGGGGGGGGGGGGGGTGGTAATGTTAATTGATATCCAGTCTTTCCCCCTTTTTGTTTAGGCCTACAAATCCCATGTGGGATTAAAAAAAAACATTTCAATATAGAATTTAATTGCCCATCCACGTGAGAAACGTGATTAAAACACGATGGAGTTGTTTTTTTAACTTTCAATTGTAGTTTATGTATTTGCAGTTTTTCCCGGTCTCTCTTTCTTTTGCCTGCTTTGATTGCGGATATTCAAGTATGGATAACTATAAATTGCCTTTTTATACGTATATTATTCAACTTGGATGACCATGAATTTATTAATTTTTAATATTCCATTTGACTGGGAATAAGAATTAATAAAAAAAAAACTTTAATTGAGAGCAAATGATGTTGTTTAGTGGAAATTGTTATCAATTATTGAAGTTTATCGCGTAATTAAAATTGTTTTATCTATACAGCTCGGCGCTACCACATCAAGCCTTTAAGGCACAACTTTCAGGTTTATAACAGATCCTCATTCCACTCTGAGAACATCAGCATGTTAGTTATCCTGACTATCGCAACGATAACAGTCTGCA